CAAAACCTTTTTATGTCTTTTCAGTTTCCCATAAGTCGTTGCGTTGATGGGGATCCTCTTTTTCAGCAAATTGAGAACCATCTCGCTGATGGCGTTGATTTGATCTCTGTCGGCGTAATGCAACATCTGTTGACGTTTATTTCGATTGGCTTCTTTCAGGACGCTCGTCAAGAAACGACGTTGTCGTCCCAACCGCTTCATCGTTCATGTCTAATGTCCGGTCGGCTCGTCACGCTCTTTTATTCACAAGTCTTGGAGAAGGCTCAAAACCGTCTTGGCTACGGTGCCTACCAGTTTACCAAGACCCTTTCCCCTTTGGACCCTCCTTCTTCCTCGACGTATTCCCACTCGCCGTCTCCTTCGCCTTCTCACCATGGCGTGTTCTGACACGCACGCACGCACTTTTCCACTTGAATGACGTAGGCAGGTGATTACGTGTCCTTTTTATAGAGGCACGTCTGAACGTTTCATGGAATCCAATACCTCCAATTATTCATACCAATACCCCCTCCCCTTTGGTAATAATGTCCAAGCGACTTGAATGCGGTGCTTAGCATGCTACCAAGACCTTTTCCCCTTTGGGTCCTCCTCCTTCTGCGTATTCCCACTCGCCGTCTCCTTCGCCTTCTCCTCACCATGTCGGGTTCTGACACGTACACACTGTCAACCTGAATGACTCACGAAGGTGATCACGTGTCCATTTTTATAGAGGCGCGTGAGCGAATCGTTTTTCGTGGGAGGTGTGAAATCCGTCACCACGTCGTCCAAAGTTTGCATCTTGGTCAAAAATCCATCCAATTCCTCCACTCCACCCAGAGCGTAGTTCCTAAGTTCAGTCAATGTCTTTTCGTAAGTCGTGTAAGCGAATTGGGTCATGTCCATCTTGAGCGAATACTTCTTGAAATCGTTCCATCCTTTCAGTGTAGTGGCTAAAGCCGTCAATCCTACCACCGTGTACCCGTCTTTCTACACGGATCCAAAGACGATGCTCGCTGCCACGACCAGTAAGGCCAGTCCGTTGAGAATGGCGTTACAAAATTTGTAGTAACCGAACATCTGCCTTCGACACCACCAATACTTGTGATAGAAAGCATACAGGCCGTCCAAACGTCTCAGCGCTTCCAATTCCACCACGGTGGTAAAAGGTTCATCCAATAAACAGACCGAAGTACTCATAACTCTTTTCCAACCAGTACCAAACGTAGTCTGACTTTCTGTCGGCACGTTCGATCCTTTTAGCTTGTTGCTCGTACTCCCAGATCTCGGCCTTGAATGCGGTTTCTACGGATTGGTTCAGTATGTCCTGGACTTGTCTGTAACTATCGCACTCGTCCGCGATACATTTCATGTCTTCGTGATCCATGCTGGTCACATCCCAGTAAGAGCGTGAGCATCGGCATAGATGCAGGAAGTAGGGGAACCACTTGACTTCGCTTCTCAACATGTTGTTGATGTTCTCAGTTACGCACACTGGTCGAATTGCGAGTCACCGTAGGACGTTGTCCGTTCTTATAGGTGGTCGTGATCGTATTCGTGGTTGTGATGCCCACAATGCGACGACCCGCGGCCGTTTGTTGTTGTTGGCGCAAAATCTCCTCCAATTGTTGCTGCATCTGTGCTTGGTCGAGAACACGTGTGCCTCGCCTTCTTCTTCTTCCTCGACCCGATGTCACCGACGAAGGCGGTGTGGAGTCACTACCACTTCCACCACCACCACCTCCGCCGCCTCCGCCTCCGCCTCCACCTCCTCCGCCTCTACCTCTACCTCTGCCTCTGCCTCTGTTTCCACCGCTACCACTGGCGCTACTTCTTCTTCGGCTCCCCGCATCACTGGGGGACGTCGGCGTGTTTTGACGTGGGACGCGTCTCGGTCGTTTCCCTCCTCGAACAGCCCGTGCCAAAGGTGTGGCGTCTGTCGGTGTGGGTGAACGTCTTACCATTCGACGCGACGAATTGGACGTACCCACGCCCGTGGTGACGTTGGCGCGTGAGGACCCCGAACCGGCGCTACCGACACCCGCCGTGACATTGGTCTGGGTCGTACCCGCGACGGGAGTGCCTACCCCTACGGCCGAGGCCCCTGGCAGGGGCGGCGTCGCCAGTGACGATAGCGGTGAAAGGTTGTTCAGGCTTATACCTACACCCGCTGCAGGCGGAATCGGAGTACTCGTTCGAGACATTGGCCTCCAAGGCGAGTAATCGGCCAGAGCCGAGAAGTTGAAATCATCACTGCTGTAAGAGCTCATCTCTCCTGTTTCTTGCTATCCTCTCAGCGGTCACTCTTTCGTTATGAATCAAATTCTCGAAATCCTCGTCGTTACATGCTTTCACGAGGGACCTCACTTGACGATAACTCGAACACAGACAGATTTGTTTCACCGTCTCGTAATCCTCTTGAAAGGAATACATGCGTCGTAGCATGGCTATGCAACGTAGAACGAACGTAGGGAACCACTCGCCTTCGCTCCTCAACATGACGGTGTCGCGAACTGATGGCATCGTACGAATCCTTCGTCTTTTAACACGTGGCTTAGGACTCGTTGATCGTCCTGACTGGCTGGATGAAGATCCAATAGCATGTAACCGTAAGGTCGTTCAGTGACCTTTCGAAACGTGTCCAACACCTCCTGCCATTGTGTGGGAAACGATTGCAGTAATAGATTTCGTATCCCCAACTGATCCCGAGGGTTCTTGAAGGCCGCGATGTAATGAGCGTTTCTGGGAATGGTCTTGGCGAATTTTCCGTTAGGGAATAGATCCTGACACAAGTAAATCACCGTGATGTTCCGATGATGCAAGTGTTTGGTGAAGAGATCCAACACGCGCTTGTCGTTACCACCCTCGTCCATCAGATCGTCCAAGACCAAAACACCCCCGCCAGGAAACCATCGGGGTAACTGTTCGCTGTCGGGGATGCCTTCGTGAAACTTGACCCCACCCTTCTTCAGCTTTTGGAAACCATCTTGCCACGATCCGTAGCAGTAATGAATACTCTTCGGTGTTTGTTGGAACAAATCGACGTTCTCTAAGAGTAGTCTGGTGGTGAAAAACGTCTTACCGCTACCCGAAGGACCCGCTATCAAAAAACTCGACGGAGTGTGAAATTGAAACGCTTTGCGTCGTTCCATGATCTTGAAATGATCCACGGTCTAGAGACGCTCCGTTTTTATCCGAACAACTTGGCCATGGGGGTCTTGATGGCTGGGATGCGTTTCAACAGACCCAAGAGGGTGACTCTACGATTGAAACAGATGGGTTTTTTCTTGGCTCGACTCTTGGCAGGGGCTCTCTGTGGTTTCGCGAATTTACCCACTTGGAATTTCTTGGCGTACCACGCTTTTCCCCTCTTGATCTTGGTCATGGCTCTCTTGGCAGCGGCTCTCTTTGTACGCGCTGTCTTGGCAGGTGCCGATCTCTTTTTTCGAGGTTTCTTCGCGAATTTACTCAAATCTCCAAACTTGTCTTCGTACCAATGCCTCTTTTTCATTCTTCTTTTCCTATCTTCTTTCTCGGAAAGTCTCGGCATGGTGGGCGCTCTCTTGCCTTTCCTGCGAGTGGTCACAGTAGGTGGTAATTCACCGGTGTCAAGGACAGCCGTTGGAGTCGGTTGAAGAGCGATCCGTCTTCTTCGCGGTTGGTTTTTCTTGAAATGAGCTGCACTCGGTTGAGGCGTTTTTTTAACAGATTTTCCGTATCTTTTTTCTAACCTGGCTATCACGTCTTCCAGGTGTCTATGTCCTCGAAACGGAAGATCCATGAAGTGTCTTGTTTTGTTGGCAACTCCATAATGAACAATTTTGGTTTACACTGCACCTTTTTATGCACTTGCAAAGTGATGGCGTAAGAACTTATTGCCGTAGCGAAGAACGTGCCAATACGGGTAACACTTATAGTCTCTGCAAGCGTCTGTTTGAAGTCTGGCTCTCGTACGCAGATGGAACAGGTCGTATCGAAGCCAATGATCTTTTTCCTGGTCCACTATGAATCGAACTCGGCGATAACTGTCGCAATCCAAAATGCGTTCCAGGACCTGTCAACGAGGATCGTCCGAGGACAAGTACAGATACCCTTCTCGACACAGTTCTAAGAATCGAGGGAACCATCTAACCTCACCACGCAACATCCTTTTCTCAAAAAAATGAACACTTTTTTATTCGAACAGCTTACTTTATAACAAATAACGCACTCCTCTAGAGGAACCGCACGTGTCCTGGTGACACGGGGTTTTACAAATCTTGCGTCAGTCCAACTCGTCCACGATCAAACGTTTGAACATCTGTCCTACTTTACGATCGTTCTCCACAAACTCGTTTTTCTTAAAACGATTCAAGAAATCGTTCATGTCACGACCTTCGGCTCGTTCGATCAGGAACATCAGGGAGTAACCGCCGCAACTCAGACTGAAGAGGGACTGTAGACTCTTGCCGTTGTGAATCTGGTACTTGAAATGACGGTCCAACCATGCTTGGATCGGTTCGGCTGTTCCGTACGTGTCCAACGGCAGACCGTAACTGTCCATGATCTCGCATTTGTCCCTGTCAGCCCACAAAGCGATCCAATGAAATCCCGGTTTATCGTGAGGGTCCGTGTTCACGATGTAAGCGGTCGGTCCTTCTTGAGGTACTGTCCTTGGAAGCTGATCGCAAGGTACCGTGCCGTGAAAAACACAGCAGAGTGACGGATTCGTACGTGCCAAATAATCCAATTGTAAGTTATTCAATGCTACTTTCTCCATTTTTTTCTTCTTCTCTCATTGGTACACGTCGTAGATGACGACTCGGTTCTCGTTGATCTCCAGCAAGTTCTCGAATTCGCCGTACAACAAGATGGTCAGGTTT